GTTGAGTTAACTTCAAGTTGTAAATGCTCATAAAACATTGCTTAAACATGTCTTTATAATTTGCTCAGGGCATAGTAGTACATGGTTAAGGGTTAAGGGCAGTGTTCACCCATCCACTACTGCATGCCTCCAGACCTAAGGAGTGGTGTTATAGTCATAAATATTTTTTCAGTCATTTAATAATATATTTCAAAATGAAGTATGTCTCCTTTTCCCTCTGTGCTTAATGTGCAGGCCCAACCCTAAATCTTGGGAGAAAGGACATCATCTTCCTTATTGATGGCTCAGACAATACAGGTGCTGCTGGAATTGCACATATCCGTGACTTCATCTTCAACATTGTCCAACAACTCGATGTGCAGCCTGATCAAGTGCGTGTTGCTGTTGTCCAGTATGCAGACAGAGTAAAGACAGAGTTCTCACTCAATTCTCACAACAACAAGCCAGCTGTTGTTTCTGCTGTTAAAAGACTTCGTCAGATGGGTGGCCGATCATCAGATCTGGCTGATGCCATTGAATACGTCATAAAGAATGAGTTAAAGCCCGCTGCTGGTGCTCGTCCTGCAGCCTCCCAGCATCTTGTGGTTCTCACAGGTGGACGTTCCCGCCAAGATGTTGCTCTTTATGGACCTCTGCTTAAGGGCTCCCGGGTCAACTGCATTGGTGTTGGAGCAGCTGGTGCTGACAGAAAACAGCTAAGCCAAATTGCCACCACCTCATCTGATGTCCTTCAGGTTTCTAACTTCCCTGGCCTGCCTTCAATCCAGCAGGGGGTTATTGACAGGCTGAGAACCAGCGCTGATGACTTACCCACAGAATATCCAAGTAAGTTGAGAAAAATTCACATTCCTAAATATCTCACGGTCTCCCAATGTAATGAGTACATTGTCTACATTTATTCTCCTATTCTTACAATGCTCTACCCTGTACTCACCAATTTCGCCTCTCTCTTCTTAGCATCAACAGGCGTGCCATCCAAAAAGGCTGATATAGTGTTTTTGGTGGATGGCTCCATTAACTTGGGAAGGGACAACTTCAATGAAGTGATGACATTTATCACCAACCTAATTGATCTGTTCTTCAATGAGCAAGACAACCTTCAGATCGGCTTGGCGCAATATACCACAGATGTTACTGATGTATTCTACCTCAACACATACAAGAACAAGCAAGACATTGTAAGTGCCATTGGCCGAGCAGAATACAAAGGTGGACGTAGAATCAACACTGGTGCAGCCATTGGCCACATTCAAGATGTTTACTTTACCAAAGAAAAAGGCAGTAGGATGGATGATGGCACTCCTCAGATCCTTATGGTTCTCACTGGAGGACGTTCAGCTGATGATGGAAAAACAGCAGCTCTTGGTTTGAAGAAAAAAGGTGTGAGAGTCTTTGCTATAGGAGTGGGCGACATTGAGGTTGAATTAGAAAACCTAGCAAGCGAGTCCTCCACTGTGGCTAGAGCAAGCACCTATCTGGAACTTTCCGAGCTGAATGAGCAAATCCTGGAGACTTTGGATGATGAAGTGAAAGGGAAGTTGTGTGTTGGTGTGCCAGAATCTACTAAAAGTAAGATATATTGGTTTTTTTCATGTAATACCTTTCATGAGCTGTTTCACATTTTGCAGCTAAAATGTAAACGTTTCAGTTTCTGTGGTTTAGCAAAAATGCCTAATAACAGATGCTCTGTCTTACAGCCTGCAGCATAGAAGTGTTGGTGGGTTTTGATGTTTCTGAACAAGACATCTTCAGTGCTCAGACCAGCCTCCAAAAGAGGATGGAAGCCATTCTGAAGAGGATTTCCAAAATGGCAGCTATCAGTTGCTCATCCGGGCAGATTCCGTCTGTCCAAGTGGGCATGCTGGCCATGGACTCTAACTCTAATCCTATTCAGCTGGACTTTACAGAAAATGATCAAGGTCTCTTTGAGGCCTTCAAAGCCCTACAGAGGCGTGGCCCCTTTGTCCTAAATGGAAAAACCATCTCAGCTTACATCGAAAGGTTCAAAACCAGACATGACGTTTTCAAGGTTGGTTACTGAAACAGTTTTAACAACAGATATGCCAGGCCAAAATCAAATTTGCAAAAGTTATAATATATTCTGTTATCTAGACTTTAATGGTGCGTTCACACCAGACACAATGCAAACATTTGCATCGCTTTTCAGTTGTGTTTACTCGCGTCATTCAAACTAGACTCTCTAGCGAGGAGGTGTGGCTCCATGTAGATACTATTTTAGATACCAACTACAACAAAAGGAACATATTTGACTGTGATTTAATTGTACATGTTTAAAAATGATGCTGAAATAACGACATACTGATACTAGTTATTAAAAACCGAGAGTTAATGAATTTGCGTCTATGTGCTTCCGGTGTGAACGTGCCCTAACTCTTTCTTTCTTATCAGCAAAGGGCAGTGTGCAACCTGTAGAAGCTATTCATTTTTAGCATGCACTGACAGTTGCTATTGTTGTTGTTAAGAAATGTAAGCTTTTGCTAATTAACATTAAGTAAGTGAGCTTCTTGATGGCAGGCAAACATCAAGCTGGAATGCTGAAAGTGCTTCCTGTAGCCAGTTTATATACTTGTTAAACGTTGTTCACAAGACAAGAACCTCCACACTATAACACCGCTGTACAATAAGAGCTCTTGTAAGAGGTTTTCTCTCCAGCACACTGCTTCATGTCAGGTTCAGTTGTTTCATTCTCCAAGTTAATCTTCATTCATATTTAATCAACATTTAGGTAACAAATAAAAGCTGAACCCTGTATTTGGACATACATATATAAAGACCAGGAAAGAGGGAACATAATCTGGATATTTTTATTTTAAATGGACTAAACAATAGACCCATGGAGAACGTAAGGATGTGTCAAACTGATTTTATCTGTTCTACTTAAGGTTGTCGTTCATCTGACTGATGGTATTGACGCCCAATACGCTGAATTGAAAAAAGGAGTTGAGGAGCTTCAGATGTCAGGTACACAGATGATGCAACAGTCCTTAATGACTACCTATTCTTAAACTTGTGAAATGCTCATGTTATATTCATAAGTAATCAATGTTCCTTAAACTCTTCTAATTACAAAACAGGAGTGAACAGTTTCATTCTAGTTGGGCTCGAGCGGGTGCCCAAATTTGAGGAGGCTTTGCTGCTGGAATTTGGTCGCGGATTTAGGTACACCAGACCCTTACGAGTCAATGTCATGGAATTGGACTATGAGCTGATGGAAGAACTGGTGAGTTCTATTCAGTTAGACGGAAGTATTTTGTGAGCGTTATTATTAAACATTGAAGAACTTAACATTTGGGTTTTTGCTGTGTAGGACAATATTGCAGAGAGAGAGTGCTGTGCAGTGCCGTGCAAATGTACCGGCACCAGAGGAGACCGAGGAGCAGTTGGACTTCCAGGAACAAAGGTATGCACATTCACCGGTTCAGACTTTGACTCAGGTCTTTCTTGTTATTTCTATTCATACTATTACTACATGTTTACTCCTATTTTATCTTATTTTATTTGTATTATTTTATTTGCATTATTTTATTTCTATGTATTATTATCCCATGTGTTTCTGTCTTATTCTGTTGCTGCTACAACACCTGAATTTCCATTTTTTTCATAATTGTTTTTCAAAAGCTAATGTTTTGGTAATATCTGTTTTAGGGTGGTCCGGGATTAACAGGAAGCCAAGGACATCCTGGAGATGAGGGAGGACCTGTGAGTTTCAATGCCTCGTCACAGTCTGATGATGTTTCCATCTTTCTTTCCTAATGTATAATGATAAAACCATTTTCAAACAATGTTAATCAATATATATATATATATTTTTTTTTTCACCAAGTTTATTTTATTTTCAAATATACTTTCCGGCTTTATTCTGTCTCTGTAATGTATTGTCTTTATTCTGTAATGACAGGGAGAGAGAGGTCCTCCTGGTGTGAATGGAACTCAGGGTTTCCAGGGATGTCCTGGACAAAGGGGTGTCAAGGTAAAGGCATTGATATTACATTTAACATTCAATTTAAACTAATTTCTTACTTTAAATGTTCAACATTCTTTTTTTGTATTAACATAATGGGATAAAACTGTTTTCCTTTTGTTCAGGGTTCTCGTGGCTACTCAGGAGAAAAGGTGAGTATGTTCTCTAAGGAGAACTCGTCATTATTAGATTCTACTGTCAGCAAAGAATGTTGGACTGATAATCTGACAACTGTAAATGTGTTTTAGGGTGAATTTGGAGAAATTGGGCTTGATGGCATTAATGGAGAAGAGGTAAGTGTGTGTTATATTAGATTTTGTCATTAAGTCTTTGTGCTTTATATGTAATACATCATACAGATTTGAGAGCTTCCTGTCTTCCCACCAAAGAGTCGATGTGTGAAAAATATGTGATGTGCTTTGGTTTATGTATGATTATGGGCTTTAATATGTATCTTCTCTATATTTCAGGGCAAAAGTGGAGTGGCTGGGCTCTCCGGAGACAGTGGAAACCCTGGCATGAGAGTTAGTGACTGGATACATTACCTTTTACATTTTATATACCCATATATCTTTACACATATCATATTGCTAGTGCTGATAAATGTTCGCATATTGTTCTTAGGGTCCCAAAGGCCTCAAAGGACAAAGTGGAGGCATAGGAGATCAGGGAATCCGAGGAGACCCCGTGAGTACTATGGATGCTGGTTTTACGTCCTTTTACTGCCAGGATCTATAACACATCTACGTTCACTGTGTTCAACATGGATACTTTAGACAAAGTTAACAGTTCTGTTAAAAAATAATAAGTCCTATACCAGCTGAATGTTGAACTTGAAAAAGTGTTTTCTTACTAACAGGGTACAAGTGGACAAGATAACACCCGTGCAGGATCTAAAGGAGACCCCGGTGATGCAGGACCAGCGGTAACATCCCTCTTAACACATTATAATGCTTTGAAAATGAAAACAAATATCCATTTTAAACAGATCCTGCTTGATTGTGTTTACATGCTGGGTTCATTCGGACATTTGCTCTGAAATGATAGGGAGAGCCTGGTGAGGATGGAAAGAAGGGTGGCCCCGGTGAACTTGGAAGAGGGGTAAATCCTTTGACCATATCTTCACTAACTTTGTTTAATACTAATTTGCAACTGTTTTTTTAATCAAAAGGTTTTTCTACTCCCACTTTATTAGGGACCTAATGGCAGAAGAGGCCCACCTGGACAAGCTGTAAGTCCCTTTATAGTGATACCATACATTGTTTTATACATATTTCAGTAACTTTTGTAGTTACAATAACATTTTGCTGTTGGCATGTCGTTAAAGGGAAATCCCGGAAAGCCTGGAGTGGAGGGTGTTCAGGGAGAACCTGGTATTGGAGGATCTAGAGTAAGTTTGTCCTTCTTTTCATAATATTTGGCAGATTATCCAATTCACAAATTCACCTGCCAAATATGTATTACAGAGAATGCTGTCATTACTTGGCCACATTAGCATCATTACAAATGGTTTTTACTGGACTGTGGCTGATTTATTTATTTATCTAGGAATGTGTTTTTTCATTCTCTATTTGAGTGTTGGAAGTCTAGCTCTAAAATTGAAGAGACTGGTGCCTCATAAATGTCTGGTTTGTCTTCTTTAAGGGTCCCTCTGGACCGATAGGTGCACCAGGACCCAGAGGAGAAGATGGAAATCCTGGACCCAGGGTGAGTGAACCTCTGAGGACCATTTTATTCAATATTTGTTTTAGCTATGTCTGTAACATACTACAATCATATTGATTGAAGTAAGGACATGTATATTTATTGATCACATTTAAAAAAAATTGAAATGGTTTAAAATGATCAAATGCAGATAAAGAACAGAGACAAATTAACCACACATTGCAACTATTAACAATTTGTTTTGGTTTAATTAAATGAAAAAAAGGTGCACAGTATACCTTTATTTAGGAAAATGGTATGTATTTTAACGTTTTATTTTTCAGGGTCCCGGAGGTATCCCAGGTACGGCTGGAGAGAAGGGGAGAAGAGCAGCTCTTGGTCGCAAGGTATTGAGTGGAAGATAATTGTATGGCTTATGTTCTCCCGTCACCTGCTTGTTTCCTTTATGGACACGCTGGCTTAAGCCCAGCTCTCTTACAATCTCGGACACATATGAATATTCTATTTCAGCCGGCATGAAAGCACTATAAGAAAACATCAAGGTTCTGCTTGAGATCTACTGCAAAATATATAAATCCTTAGAAACTCTATCCTGACAGCTCAAAGATAAATTTCCCTCTTAACTTGAAGCATTGACATTCACTCGTGTAATTATTTCTGTCTGTCTCATTGTCTGTATCTGCCTGTCTCTGTGCCTGTGTAGGGGGAGCCAGGAGACCCAGGACCTAAGGGTGTTGTTGGACCTCTTGGTCCCCGTGGAGAGCCTGTAAGAGTGCAGACACATCTTCTTGCATGCTCCATAATGTAAAAGGGTGAAAGTTGGCCAGATAAGAACCATTCTTCATGATATCAGATAAACCCAGTTTGTCATGTTGTTTAGGGAAACAAATGTCCAAATATCAGACAGTTATTAGATAATCTTTTGAATAACTACCACTGCCTCATTGCCTCGTTTGCTTTAAAGCAAGGATCTCTATCTGAAAACGACTCTGTTGTGTTACGGAATTGGTGTTTTTGCTGGGACGGATCTTATTCCCTGTGTTCTGTCTTTAATAAGTACTCTGACTTTGATTGCACGTTGGTCGAGCCTTTCTCTTCTTCTCCTTTGTTTCAAAGGGGGAAGACGGCAGAGACGGGTTAGGCGTTGCAGGGCTTACAGGAAGAAAGGCAAGTACACTTTTATCTCTAATAATCGGAAGCAATGTATGGTAATAAAAACATGGTTTTTGTCATCTTCAATAAAATGAGTGTTAAAATTGTATTTAGCCTCATATATCTAATGATTAGAAAAGGACAATGTGAGGTCAAGAATCCTCAGGAGATACAGGAGACCTCGCTCTCACAACTAAAGGAAAAATAATAAATGAAACAACTCAAAGGGAATACCTTACAAACAAAAACAAAAAGGATATATACATTTATTAAAAAAGGATACAAATAAACAAATAAACAATTCTCAAAGTATGCATTTCCCTCCACAGGGTGATGAGGGCTTCCCAGGATTCTCAGGACGAAAGGTAATACACAACACTGAGTCCTGAGTAGAATCTCATCAGAGCTTGTAGATTACAGGGTAACTCTGTTTCTCATTTCCATTCACTTCCCTTCCATCATTTCAGGGAGCAGCAGGTGACCCCGGCACAAAGGGCGGCCCTGGACCCATAGGCAATCTTGGCCAGAGGGTATGTTTGGAGATCCTTCGATTGATTCATTTGATAAAACATTGTAAATGTGTATGTATATATGTATATATGCTGTATGGTATCACTTAGCCTAAGCCCCCAGCAAAACTGGACATGTTTGGTGAATGCGGTGATACGGTGGCCTGATACAGTAGAAAGCTTTATGCAGGCTTAGCTGTGAATGAGCTGCATGACCGTGCACATTAAAACAAGCTCTTTTTAAAACTAAAAACGAATAGCTTTCATTATTTTTTCTTTACACTTGTCATTCTTTCCAGGGTGTCTCTGGGAATATAGGAACATCCGGACAGAAGGGAGAGGTCGGACATCCTGGGCCATATGTAAGCAACATGAAATGATTCCTTTTGAGGAACCTCTGTATGAATGACATGGTGCTACCGTAGCAACATTTCTGGAGTTATAATTTTTAGTATACGAACACTTTCTGAAAAGGGATGTTTTTGATGGAGTTAACACTCGAGCTCACCTAAATTGTTGCTCTTTACAACATTTGTTATTATAAGCAATGCAAAAAAATGCTTTTTGTCATGGGTAACATGCACTGTTTTTATTTGATTTGAATAGGGTCAGAAAGGACCGAGGGGACCAGGTGTTGTGGTATGTGCTTCTATACACAGTTTGGAAACTGTATTTAATAAATAGCAAAACACATCTCTAGTGATCACTCCCTCAACGTGTTTCTCTTTTGTTCTCAGCAATGTGACCTGGTTAAGAAAATCAGAGAAAACTGCCGTGAGTAAAATTCTGCAATCAACAGTAATGTTATTACAAAAATAAATGAATATACTCATGTGTTGTGGACTAAAAACAATATTTGTCCCCTATTTCCTACCAGCTTGCTGTTATGGTAAGTATGATAGTATGAATTAGTTCAAATATGTGCTTTATGCACTGTTACACAGAATCTAAATCTTCTACATGTACACCCACAGGTCAGCAGGAGTGCCCGCTCTACCCCACTGAGCTGGCCTTTGTCCTGGATATCTCCGAGGGCGTTGGCCGCCCAGCCTTCAACAACATGCGTGACACAGTCCTGCGCCTGGTCCGGGACATCACCATCTCTGAGAGTAACTGTCCCAGAGGGGCTCGTGTGGCTGTCACCATGTATAACGATGAGGTGACCACTGAGGTCCGCTTTGCCGATGCAATGAAGAAACGTGCGCTGCTGCAGCGCATCGAGGGGCTGCAGACCCTGCAGACCCGAAAGCAGCGCGGCTTGGACACCGCCATGAACTTTGTGGCCCAGAACACCTTCAAGAGAGTGCGCAGCGGCTTCCTCATGAGGAAGGTGGCCGTCTTCTTCGTGGGCGGGGCCATCGACAAGGCGCAGGAGATTACTAATGCAGCTCTCCGCCTCCATGATGCTGGCATCTCCGCACTGTTCTTAGTCAACCGTGAGGACAGAGGTCTCGGCAGGGCACTGCAGGTAATACAGAGCAGAAACACAATAGATATCGCCTCAAATATAAAACCAATGTCCAGAAACCTCGGTGTGATGATTGATAGTAGCCTCTCTTTTAATCAGAAGTTTCTGTTTTGATCAGTTTACTATCTTTTCAAAAATTAAGTCATCCACTTTTGTCTACTTTTATTTCATCACGTCTGGAATACTGTAACTCCTTATGTTCTAGATTAAGCCAAAAAGCAATATCCCTCCTTCAACTTGTTCAAAATGCAGCAGGAAGATCTTTTACAAATAAGGCTAGACCCCAACACCCCTAATTTAGTCTGTCTTTACTGGTAACCTGTCTGTTTTAGAATTGGTTTTAGATTTTACTGATTACTTTTAAAGATTTAACAGTTTGGATCCTGATTACCTCCCTGACTTGTGTGCCCTTATGAGCCTGTGGCTGCCTCAGATCCTCAGGTAGGGCTCTTCTTTCTGGCTGTTCCCAAAACCACGCTAAAAACTAAGGGTGACCGAGCCTTTTACCGCAGCTCTCGAACTCCCTGTCCGAGAATCTGAGGCTGGCAGAATCAGGGACATCTTTTAAATCACTTCTTAAAATTAATCTCTTATTAAAGCCTTTTACTAATAATACCATTACTCGTTTTTACTTTACATCCATGTTTTATTCGACTTTACTTTCTTTTTACATTTGTATTATTGTACTTAACATTGTATAGTTTGCGAGGTGGGGTGGGGTTAGTTGACCTCATGTTCTGTTGCCGCCTGAGCGACTTGTCCACGGAAAGCACTTTGTAACTTTGTTTTCAAAAGTAGGCCTACTGTATAAATATTAATAATTATTATTGTTATATGTCAAAGAGGAACTTTGCAGTACAGGCATATACATAAGCCTATTGACAGTGTCTCTACAGTAGAAACTGATGCAGTGAACTGTACTGTGCCTCTTGTTCTCCAGGTGAACAACACAGCCCTGGCTCAGGTCCTCGTGCTGCCTGGCCCTGGAAGTGCTCAGTACAATTCAGTCCTCCAGAAGGTGATGAACTGCCATGTCTGCTTCGGTAAGAGCTCCATGTTTGAACATTAATAATGTCACCACAGATTAGTTTTTGTTAATATTATATCTTAATATATCTTTCACATTTACACTGATTTATTTTTCCAAAAAATTGTCTTAAACATATTTGCATCTCATACAAAGGTTGTCCTGAAAATATTCTGTTTCTGTTCATATAATTCTTTTAGAAATTGGAAAATAATATTGTATTTTATATTGTTATATTTATCGCAGTAATGTTTCTGAAAAAAATTGGTCCATTGGTCTGACAGTACCAGAGTTTTTTGCCGGTCAACATGTCCGTTAAAGTTGAAATCTTCCGGACTAAATGAGAAAAGTGCCGTTCAAAGGTCTTCTTTGTTATTTATTGAGCTTTAAAACAAATTAATATGATTCGATATCAAGCAAACTAATTATAGTAGATTAACTACATTATTCAAAGTGTACAGTAACTTATAATAACACGGGAATAATAAACGGAGCTCTCTCTCTCCTGACAGCCCGTCAGTACCCGTCTCATGCAACTCGCGGATCCAGTAATGAGTGACCCGACAGTAAAAATAAACATATCTATAACTAGTTTAGGTAGTTTGAGAGGTAATTAAAATAGCTACGTGTGATTTTTGCGCAACTTATGTGGTATTGTGCTAAGGGGAAATTATTTTGACTGGACATTTTGACCAGACATTTTGACCGGAGAGATTTAGATTTGCCGGTCTTCAGCATATTTTACCGGTCAAAGTCCAGTAATTACCGGCTAATGGAAACTATGGACAGTACACTGGCTTAATGAGTACCTCCAATACAACTTTTGAGGATTCGAAATACATCGCCTTCATTTAGTGACTAAAGTAACAATACATTTTATGGGGTTGCTTTTTTTTTTTAGACGTCTGCTCTCCGGACCAGATGTGTGACTATGTGCCCCCGCCAGCTAGCCGAGACAGGAGATCTTCCACCACCGACGAGGACATCGACATGGCTTTCATCATGGACAGCTCGGAGACAACTTACCCAACTGTCTTTACTGAAATGAAACGCTACATCGCGTCCATCGTTGAGCAGCTCCAAGTGTCTTCAAATCCCACAACATCCGCTCACCACCCCAGAGTGTCTGTGATCCAGCAAGCCCCTTACGAGTTCCTCAACAACAAAACTGGCTCTCCAATCCGTGTTGACATCGGTTTGACCGAGTACAGCTCAGCTCAGGATATAGTCAAATTCCTGCTGGAGAAGACGCCACAGCTACAGGGTGGCCGGGCGCTGGCGGCGGCTATCGAATCGACCGTGGAGCAGGTGTTTGAAGTGGTGCCTCTCCAACGTCCCAGGAAAGTGTTGCTGCTCTTTGTGACAGGAAGTGTGGAAGGAGAAGAGGAGCAGCTGGTGCGTATTGCCACTGAGATCAAGTGCAGAGGCTACTTTCTGGTGATCCTGGGTGTGGGCGAGACTCTGAGCGCTGGGGATGCTCGTGTATTGTCACGCATGGCCAGTGAGCCGTCGGATGTCTTCTTTAAGCGTCTGGACACCATCTCACAATTTTACGACAAACACATGCAGACCTTCGGCCAGCTGCTGCCAAAGTACATCAGCAGTAAGTCAAAGACCATTTATTTTATTTATGTTTTTGTTTCTTTTTGTCTAAATGCCATTAATTGATAGGTTAATCCAAGTCCCTGTGAGTGACACACCATGTTCTGCCTTATTATTCTCTTTAGTTGAAAATGCTTTCTACATGTCCCCTGAAGTCTCCAAAAACTGCAAGTGGTTCCAGAGTGACCAGGCCCTGAAAAACCCCTTTTCTTCATCACACCAACAGGAGTTAGTATTGTAGTATTTTGTATGTATTTATAACTTGTTTCTGTTTTGGGACTGTGATGGTTTTATTCACGATCTATTGGTATATTCACAGGGAATATCACAAACATCATGAAAACCAACAGACAGTTCATCAAAGAAAGCACACTGGTAAGTTTGGAGTTTAAAGTACTGTTTGATATGGACTGGTGATATGGACTGGACTGGCTTTATTCACTTTGAATTCTGATTCTTTAAGCCTGGGGTGTCCAACTCAATTTCATTGCGGGCCACATTAGCATTATGGTTGCACTCAAAAGGCCGGTTGTAACTTTAAGAATATATATAAATATAATGTATTATATTACATTATTGGCTCTGCATTGGATTATTATCAGTTCTGGTAATAACTCCATAAATAACTACGTCTGAAAGAAGAAGTCTAGGGCAAATAATTGAAAGCAAATATTGAACAATTACGCCAATTGTAGTGTACATTATATTCCTTTCAAGCTCTTGCGGGCCACTTAAAATGAGGTCCAAATATCCGGCGAAAGGCCCAATCCGGCCCACGGACCTTGAGTTTGACACCGGTGCGTTTAAGCAATGCATAGCTAACAGCTAATAGTAGCTACGGATGCATTTCCCCATAGCCAAGAGCCATACTGAAGTGAGTATTCCCCCCTTCAGAGTCAGATGAGCTCCACGTCTCTAACGTGACCTCCAGCAGCCTCAAGCTGCGTTGGAACAACCCGGACTCCAAGCTCTTTGTGTACTTCGAGGTGATGGTGACCCGGCTGCACGACCACGCCCTGGTGCTGAAGACCAACGTGTCGGGCACAGAGCTCTCCGTGGACAACCTGCAGAGCGCTCAGACATACCACGCTGTGGTCACCGCCCACACTGCAGAGGGACAGGTCGTCTCCACCCGCAAAGGCATCATGACTACGAGTAGGTCCTTAAACACATCTATACAAATGAGTCGTACGTTTTTTATCCCACAAGATGATGTCTTATTAAAAAAACAGGAAGGAATATTTCCTACGCCTCATCACCCACAACATTGAAACCTTATCAATTCCACCAGATATGAACATTTCTGGGTGGGGAAGACAAAGAAAGTACAGCAAGAAACAGCAATGACTTAAGTGGTGCTGGATTATATACAAGATTTTATAATAATATATAATTGTATTTTAAACATAATATCAATTATTCCTATTTAAAATTATCCATGTTATCTTAAATGTGAATGTATTGCAATACCCCTACTTTGACCCTTACTTTGCAGTCTTTTTGGACATTTTTAAACACCTTGGTATTTTTTCTTCATGTTATAGTTGGTTTTTGTGTCTGTGTTTGGGGAGGGGAGATGTTAAAACATTTTTAAACCAAAGCCAAGCCAAATTAAACTGAATACATCTTCCCTTTGACAGAAGCAGCAGAGCATAAGCCATCCAGCCGGAGCAGCAGCCCTGTGAACACTACACCGCTGGACAGACCACAAACTGGTGAGTGACTGCACATGCAAACACATGCATATGTGCCCATGTTTTCTGCTTTTACCTCCTACTATGTTTTTTTAAACTTGCATGAAATGTTAATAAGCTGGAAGAAATTCACTCTTTGATCTTCCATTCAGTATTTACTCTATATTTTACTGCTGCAAGGATGTTTATGGTCTGTTTGTATTTCACTTTGTTTCCTAGGCAGTATGATAAATAAAACCTGATGTTTCAAGAACATAACATGCTATGCTGTAGACAGCAATATTTTGCAACAAAAAATGTAAAGGCCCAAAATAGAATGTGGGTCATTCAGGAAAACGTAGAAAACCTACCGCTCAAACTATTGGTCTTGGTTGCTTGAAGTTGCATTGTAAGAAATCAACTTCTTGTTGGTAAGACAGTAGAAGCAGGGAAACATATTTAGAGCCCATATATTTGTCCGAGGAGTAAAGCTTTGCAGCTGCTGCTTCTTTGAAGGCACAAACTAAAGGCATTCCTAAGACATGAGGACATCTAAAGTGACTAACAGGAGAGTCTGAGGAGATAAGCTTCTCTACCTGCCCTGCAATCATTCGTTTAGCAATGCTGCCTTTATTATTTGTATTCAGTGATCGCTGTACTCTGATAAGCCAGTGTGTATCAGGAAGGAGTGAAGTAGCGTGGATAGGGCAAACACTCGAAAGAAAACACATGTCAAGGCAAGCCAAACCTGAACAGAACCTCCCGATGTACGACAAACACACACAAGGGTCCGACAGAACTGAATAGAAATGAGGGCAAGCTGACATGAAAAAACAGGACAGGGCAAACAATCTCAACAGGTGGGAAAACACAAATACAGGAAGTAAAAACAGACAAAACACGGGGAGAAAACTTTTCAAAATAAAACAGGAAACACAAAAACCATGATCAGGACTGTGAGCAAGAACATGATTGTCCTAGCAAAATTTACACAATGCTGTCCCAGAAATGAATTAACAGACGACGCAGCCAAGACTCCAGGGACTGTTCCTAGCTATCTGCGATGAAGAATTTATATTTATTTTATGGGTTTGACTCCTGGGATTGGTAACATGCTGGTAACCTGAACCACACAGCCTAAAGATCTTGGATAACTAAACTAACAAAACAGTAGCTGTAGTTATAACTAACTGTGAGATTCACCAATAAACCTGCACCTAAACCTCTTTCTTTCTACTGAATGCTTTCTTATTTTAAAATGTCCAAACTCCTAATAATGCCAGTAGCCCTTGAAAGATGTTATGGCATGTTGTATTCCATTTCCTTTGCCCTAGGAGAATGAACCATATCAAGTATAAGATTCATTTGACCCATTAGAGCTAAGAACCCTTATTAATATGATTGTATCCATAACCAGCATCTTCTTTAACAGCACACAGTACATGCTGTATGTTTAATATATACTTCATTAAATATTAACACAAACTCATCTTCTCTCTCTGTCTGTCGTCCATCACTGCTCTTGTCTCTTTTCTTTATGCATGTTCTAGTTAATGAATTTGCAGACCAATGCTCACTTGACTATGACCCTGGAATGCCGTGCAAAGACTATCAGGCTAAGTGGTTCTTTGACAGAAAGAACGGGATCTGTACACAGTTCTGGTATGGAGGTTGTGGAGGCAATGACAATAGGTTCGACACTGAGGCCCTCTGCCTGAAAAACTGCATGAGGTCAGGTAAGTGTTTGTCAGGGCTGGGCCCTCTGAGGGAATGTACTGTTGGGTTGGCCTGATACAACACAGCACAAAACCATGTCCAGTTACACAACCTGCAGGTAAAGACCTGCAGGTTGTGTATCAAACAAAGGTTTGCTAAACCTTGCTCCAGAACAACTGTAGTCCAGTCACAGCTGAGGACACCAGGCCATGGATGTCCCCACAAAATGCAATGGTTTGCAAATTAGTCTCTAAAAAAGGAGGGTACTGGTTATTTAAAGGGTGTTTTCTTTTTTTAAGCATCACTTTTAGAGCGAAAAGATGAACAAATGTAAAGGATAGATGAAACAGTTTTTTTATCTGCTCAAATGTAAGCTGTGAATGCTAGCATGGCCTGCTAGGTGGTTAACTACAGCAGTAACCTCCAGAGTCAAGGGATATGTCATGTAACTCTATATGTTCCTTCAGAATAAAGACAAATTTGTTTTGGGTTTGAGCCTAGTTGCTGGTATATCAGGTTCCAAGGCTTTGTCCTGCTCTTCATTTAGCTTGATTTTGTTTTGGGTTTTTTTGTTGTTTTTTTGACAGTTTGCATATTCAAGACACTTTGCTGTGTTTGCCTTAGTTACACAAATTACTGGAAGCAGCGTTTCCAACCAACTCACACACAGGCAGTGCGAGAATTAGAAGCTTGACGGGCGTAGACAATCTAATTAAGTGGGCAAGGCTTAGCAAACCATTCATTTATTCCATGATATTTATAGAAGCTGAAGTTTACTGTTATTCCTGTGAATTCTCTTTTAACATGTCAATAATCCCATGATAGGTTTACTGGAAGGGTAAAGCAGTAAACGGAAACCATTCTGCTAATGTGCCTTACAGACAATGATAATTGAATAGTAAATGTCTGTGGTAATTCATATCTGTATATCACCACATCCTGATAGTTGTCCAGCAGCTGGTGAACATCTGTCTCTTTCAGCTGAAACCACATCTAACTGTTATGTTTCCACAGTGCCAGAGCCGGAGCCACGCGTGCAGCAGGTTGAACAGGTGGAGGTCCTCCTGGATCCTGGTGAGATCTCATATACATTCACTACTGAGTATCCCTCTGCACAGTATTATGTTACTGTTCCTTCCCCTCTAACTCTTTATTTTTTAAGACATAGCTGACTTTGATGTGGTTGCACATATATGCTAGTGAGCCAATAGAGACGAAAAAGCACTTCCTTCCTGGTAGAGTATAAAAACAAGCGACTCACATCCTCAAAACTTGATATGAATTTTCAGACCAACCCTAATGTTATGCATTTTTCTCAAAAAGATATGCATCACTGTATAATTCAATTTCTACAAAACTTTGCTAAACAATAATTCCTTTGTATTGAACTGGAAACTAACCCACCTCCTCCACTGCTCCTCTGCTGCTCTAAATGACGGAAACAAGTCAAAGCCAAGCTTGGAAATCTGAGAAGGTTATGCTTTTGTTACAGGAGCAAGCCAAGTCCTGACCACAGAGAAAATGAATGGAAAGCCTTGTTCAATGCTTCATTGTTTTTCTGGCAGTAGTCCTCCCAGAAGACAAGTTCAATTTGTCAGTACGGTTAGACGTTGCTGTAAATTGGACTGAAAGACTTAGTCTAAACGCAATGGGCTCTATCTCAATTGATTATGGAATAATGAAAATCTGCAGTGATTAAAGTGCTTTCATGATTTCCTTGTAACATTGCAGCATTGTGCTTATTTCCATTGGGCAATCCTCTACGTGGCGTTCTACTAGACATTACGTTTATTAAGTTATTTAGTGAGCAGTTAGTTAAAGCATGCAGCCCTGCCAGTGATATGTGTCGTTGTAGTTGCGTTGTGTTTGTATACTCTCCATGATCTTCTTTGTCACTTCCCTCCCAGCGGGCTCTACAGCTGTGGACATTTGCCAGCTTTCCAAAGAGGAAGGAACTTGTGCCAAGTTTGTCCTGAAGTGGCACTTCGATGCCACCAGTAAGAGCTGCACGCGCTTCTGGTATGGAGGCTGTGGTGGGAACCAGAATCGCTTCGACACGCATCAGGAGTGTGTGAACGCTTGTGGAAAACCAGGTACATGTTCTGTTCATAATAATCATCTTCCAGTATCTCTGATCAGCTATGATCAAGTTACTGACCCATGAAGAGAACATCTTGAAATGCCACTCAACTCCGCTGGCAAAAGTAATTTTACTCGGTACACATTAGTTGGTGGTTCAACGCTGCCTTCATCGGTTACTAGCCAATCATAAGGTAGTTCTGCCGTCACCAAGTTAGGAAAAAAGAAAATTGTGAAGTTCCGATGATGTCATCACTCATGTGCTTCAGTTTGTTGCAGGGAGTTGCGCATTCAGAATAATGGGGGGTTTTGTTGGGATCACACCTGTTGGACAATGAGATTTTTTTCCCATGGCATCATTTTCAGACTACTGGTGTTTTGGATTAATGGGCTTTCAGAACAATAGGAAGTCCCCATAGAAACAAATACATGTTGTTTTCTTCATTAAATGGCTAACCAGGTTTCTCCTTTCATTCATTATCAGCACCCCTCAAACAAGGAGTCCTCGCTGCGATGAGAACATAGGACACAGCTTCCTCCAAACCATCCAAAATGGCCATACTGTAAACTGATGCAAAGCCAAAGCAAGGGTGGCTTCACTGGATTCCACAAAAAATGACTTTAACCCAAATTCTTGAAATATTTTTTTAACAACAAGAAGGAAGCAACACAATTTGCTGCATGATTTGTTTTAACCTACTGGTGCTATGTAGTATGTTTGTTTTATCGACTCATTAAGTGCATTTTGGAACAATGGCATCATAAGAGTTTTTAAAATCACTTTGATAATTATGAAAGAAACTATGACATTTTTGGACAGAGATTAGTTATAACTGAGTATGCAGGACTGGCATTATTCAATGCAGTATCCTTTTTTTGTGTTTTTTACATTCCACATTCACATAGCAACCTTGGCTTTTATTGACTCTTATGTTTTAAACCTCACTTGATCCCTGTGGAATCGTAGCTTCACGATTTTACAGCCACACAATCCACAGTAATGTTTAGTCTCATGTGTGTATATAAATGACAATGACCAAACATAATGAAATGTTAAGTGCACTTCTGGATCCACTGCCTCAAACACACAAGTTCCAGCTATTGAGAAATGGAATGTACTTGTCAAGCTGTTTTTATTTGTGTTTCATTTGATTTTAACAGAAATGTGTGTTTTATCTGGGTATAGGGGAAATAAACACGAAATAGACTTTCTAATAAACATGAGCAACTCATTATTTTCTTTCCTGTTTTGAATAATAAACATGACAAGGTACATGGTTCACATTACACTTAATGTCATTGTGGAACTCAAACAGCAGCTGGATGTTCAACAAAACCAGAAGCTGTTAACATCCCAAAACAGTCATATTTGTTATTATTGAATATTACATTTTTACTCTTCCATCTATAATTAAGTTGCAGTGATATGTTAAAATTCAGTGGTAGGAAGTAACTAACTACATTTATTCAAGTACCGTACTTTAAAGGTGGGGTAGGTAATTTTGGAGAAACCAGCTCGAGTGCACTAGAATTTGAAAATACACAGCCGGAGGAAATCTGCTACTTCTTACAGAGCCCCTCCTCCAACACAAACGGAACGCGCCATGACCAATGGAGGGCACGAGATAAATTTGTTGCACAGAATGGAAGGCCTGACAGGCAAGGTAGCCATCAGTTTATTTTTAGCCGGCGCCGGCTCAGAATGATTGGGTCGTGCCTTTTTACAGAACTACGGCTTCCCAGCTTGACATTTTTCTCTTATGGATTTTTTTGTCAAAGCCACTAAGGCATATTCATTGCTATTGGGATGTTTTAAGAGCATTCCATGGAATTAACAAAAGTGGTATCACTCGAGACGGTTCTCTCAAACTTACTCTAACCCCACCTTTTAAGTGCATTTGTAAACCTCCTGTTGTGTTCGTTTGTTCCCCTTACTTTGGTGTTTCGCGGTGAATTTGACCGATCCTGTTTTAACTGCTATGACATTAACACAAAAACCATGAATCATCACCAAATTTTATTTAACCACCCTTTCAAACTGTACATATTGTATCAGACTACTGGTATATAATGAAAAAATGCCAGAAATTATAAAGAACAGACATTGGAACATGTATTTGGTGTGCCAGGTGTGATCCATGCTGGGGGGATGGGCACAGAAGAGTGGGGAAATGTGTCAAATTGTTTTGCTGTGTGTGTGGTTGTGTGGTGTGTGTGTGTGTTTTAGTGTGTGTGGTGTGTGTGTGTGTGTGTGTGGTGTGTGTGGTGGTTGTGCGTGTGTGCCATGGTGCGTGTGTGTGTGGTTGTGTGTTCGGTGTGTGTGTCGGTGTGTGTGTATTGTGCGTGTGCCCGTGCGTGTGTGTGTGTGGTTGGTTGTGTGCGTTGTGCCTGTGTTTGTGGTGTGTGTATCTGATCTCCGGATGTTATTCTTTCTCTTTAGGCGGTCCCCTATCTTTTGACGGGAACACCATGGCGTTGTTACAAAGTTGACTAAATCATCCAAAATGCATGATGACGTGCGTGGTCCCAGCCTATTGTGTAATATGGTTCAAATGTCTACTGTGGAAGGGTAAAGCAATAAAGCCTTAATTGGCCATCGGAATGTTCAACAAAAAGTTATGATTGAATGAAGTAGTAATCGGTCAGATTTTGGGAACCGAACACAACAGGAGGGTGTTAAGGTACTCAACTCTTACTGTTAGAATTGCATGTGTGTGGTAATCTCCTTCCCCCACACGCGCAGGAGGCCAGGAAGCGACGCAGACTAACCCACATGCAACTCTTTTCAAACCAGTACCGTTGAACAGTCTTCCCTCCTCGCCTGTGTCTCGCGTCACAACTTGAGACTCTTACTTTTCATCACTCCTCCTTTTTCTTTTTACCTTCGCTTGCTTAAGGCTTCTCTATGCTATCCCTCTCACCAGCTAGCCTCTTGACATTACCCTTCGCTTGACCCCACTCTCTCTTGCATTCTTCGGGCCTGCAATCTTGTCCTTCCTCCGGTCACCCTCGGCTCGCTGTTCCGCGTCACCAATCGCTCCCCCGCGCTTCAACACTCGGTCACGATCACACACACACACACACCACACACCACCACCCACACACCCACCGACACCACACCACGCCACCACCCTGCCGCGGCCAACACCACACCACCACACACCTTCCACACACCCAGCGCCACATCTTGACACATCTCTCCACTCTTCTGTGCCATTCCCACACTGGATCCTGCACACCCATACATGTCTCACACTCGCTCTGTTTCTTTTGTATTTGTTCTGCGTTTGGGTCATGTATCACAGTAGTCTGATACAATATGTACAGTTTGAAAAGGGTGCTCTAAATGATTTTGGTGGTGATTCAATGGTTTTTTGCTTGTTAATCGTCATAAGCAGTTAACAACAGGATCGTCAATCTTCACCCCCGCGAACACGAAAGTAAGGGGGGGGAACGACACAAACAGGAGGTTTCTACAATTGCCACTTAAAGGTGGGGTAGGTCGTTTCTTGGAAGGAACGGCCTCGAGAATACCACTCTTCTTTGTCTATATCTCCCACTGGAATATCAGCTCGCTTAACATCCCCAAATAGCATGAATAATCCTTAAGTGCTTTGACAAAAAACCATAAAAAGTAATCTGTGGACGTAGTTCCTGTAAAAAGCACCGACAATCATCCTGAGGGGCCAGGCCCCGGGCTAAAATAACTCGGTGGCTACCGGGACCCCTGCCTCGTCGATTCCACTCTGCCAATCTTACTTCGTGTCTCTCGCGCATGTGCGGTCTCGCTCTTGCTGTCTGGCGGCGGGCCTCTCCTACGCAGGTAGCCCACCGATTCTCTCGCCGCCTGTGTATTTTCCCCCCAAATCTCTAACTAGTGCAGCCCTCCCGCGCTGGTTTCCCTCCAAAATCTACTCTACCCACCCTTTAAAGCGTACGGTACCTCTGAATAAACTCTCAGTTAGTTACTTCCTACACTGAATTTTTAAACATATCACTTGCAACT